TACCTGCTTTTCTCTCGCTAGGTATCTATAATATTTCATCACGTCTTCTGCACCCAGCCAAATGCTACAAGGTTGTGTCTTGTTGCCTACACTGTTTCGTGGTCTTTCTGGTGTACGTTTTCCTATTCCTGGGGTTTGTTTAGGAATTCACGTTGAAAAGGCAGCAATATTGTTTGTGTGTGTGTCTGACTCCGGCTCTCTCTCTCTCTCTCTCTCTCTCTCTCTCTCTCTCTCTCTCTCTCTCTCTCTCTCTCTCTCTCTCTCTCTCTCTCTCTCTCTCTCTCCCTCTCTCTCTCTCTCTCTCTCCCTCTCTCTCTCTCTCTCTCTCTCTCTCTCTCTCTCTCTCTCTCTCTCTCTCTCTCTCTCTCTCTCTCTCTCTCTCTCTCTCTCTATGTTTATGTCTGGGATTCGGCATATGGGCGATTGGATGTGTTCATCTATGTATATATTCGTGTGACTTTGTATGAGCGTGCAAACTCCACCCTAGGTTTGTATGTAAACACAGCATATTACATAAGAACACGACGAAAACACATGCGCTTATTCAAAACAAAACACCCGCCTGTTTGCACCGAGAACTGCGTGGTAAGAGTCACGTGATCTAGCTGTGCATGGCGGCCATGAGAGCCAGGGTGCATGACTACGTGTATGAGCCCATGTTTACGTCGCTGTGCATGTTTAACTTGTTTTATTCAGCGTCTGTGTTTGCTTCCTCGTTTTCCTGTTTTGTTGCATTCATGTCCTCTTGTTACTTGTCTGTGTTGAGTTTGTTCCGTATTTTTCACCTCGTTCTCTCTCCCCCTTTCTCATCGTTTCGATTTTACCTTTCCCCTCGCTTTCCAGTGCATTGTGTATTTGCATCGTATGTTTACAACTTACGTTCTACAGTCGTATTGAAGGCCTTTTTACGCATGTAGCATATGAAGGATAAACTAAAATAAAAATCACTACGGCACATGCGTGAGAGAGGAAGAGTAAGGGAGGAATAGCAAGGCTGATATGCAGATGGACTGATCGATAGATAAATAAACAGTTAATATTGATAGATACGATAGTTACGTTGAAATCGTGATAGAGACAGACCAGCAGATACAAATCAAGAGAGAGAGAGAGAGAGAGTAGAGAGAGGAGAGAGAGAGAGAGAGAGAGAGAGAGAGAGAGAGAGAGAGAGAGAGAGAGAGAGAGAGAGAGAGAGAGAGAGAGAGAGAGAGAGAGAGAGAGAGAACGTGTTCTCCGCGTCCTCTATGACCTTTCTCTTTCCTCAGTTTCCCTGTTGCTTAGGCATCCCCCAGAAGTCGGCGTCATTTACCTCGGCGTGTGCTTATTACGAGCAACAGTCGCCCAAAATAGACGTGGGGCAAGATAAGGCATTCCGGTTGAGACGCCGTTCCTTTCCGGCGCGGTCGACGTGGCGTGCGTTCGGCCGTTCGTTCATGGGCGCGTGCACGTGTTTCGGGGGTGACGGCACGGTCTGCCTACGTGACCAGACGCACGTACGATGCCTCCACCTCCGCCGCCGCCTCCGAGAGTGTGGAGCGAACCGGGTTATCGAATGTCCCCTCGGCGTGCATGTTTTCTCATCATGCCATGACCTCTACTAAAGCCCAGTCCGTGTATGTTAGCGCCCCTTGCCTGTTTATCGAACTGTAACACTCCTCCTCCTCCTCCTCCTTCTTCTTCTTCATCTCCTCCTTCTTCTTCTTCTTCTTCTTCTTCTTCTTCTTCTTCTTCTTCTTCTTCTTCTTCTTCTTCTTCTTCTTCTTCTTCTTCTTCTCCTCCTCCTCCTTCTACTTCTACTACTTTTTCTTCTACTACTTATAATTTTATATTTCTCTTACTCTATATTTTCCCTCTATTCCTCTTCCTTCTTTTGAACTCCCCCCACCTACACCTCGTCTTTCCCCTCCTCCTCTTCTTTTCCTCCTTCGCTTCCTTCTGCCGGTTCTATATCGAGTTATAACTAGTTTATTTGACAATTCACGCGATAACGGGTGGAATCTGTTGACCTTCTGAAGAATGCACAGTATGGATAGGCATGTCCTCTCTCTCCCTCTCTCTATCTCTTTCTCTCTCGCTCTTTCTCTCTCTCTCTCTCTCTCTCTCTCTCTCTCTCTCTCTCTCTCTCTCTCTCTCTCTCTCTCTCTCTCTCTCTCTCTGTCTGTCTGTCTGTCTTCCATTGTTGAGAATAGTAGAGGCGTCTCTGTGGCGGGATATGACATCAAAATTAAATGCGTGGTCCTTCGGCCTTCGCGAGATGTAAACACGGTGTTTCCAAAGGCCGCTATGTTTTCCATATAAAATCTTCTTTGTATGATATATTATGGTATAAATCTACACAAATTTTATTTTATTTCATTTAAAACTTAGTAGCAATGATACTACATAGAGAGGTAAAAATAGGTTAGCAGAATAAACACGTGTGTGTGTGTGTGAGAGGCGGCTGGCGAAGACCCCTGTTACTTGAACCTAAAGCTTTGATCTGTTATGTCACAGTTGAAGATACATGCTTGGCCTTGTCCAGCCAGATAAGTTTGCTTTCTTCCGCATGACAAGCAATAATTAGGTATAAGAAAGGCTTCATCATAGAACTGAAAGGATTGAAAACATGAGTATCCATACATTAACAGCGTAGATTGGCAACTAGCATACCTACTTATGCATGATAAACAAATATATTTATGACTTGGATTCATGTAGTTTCTGTAAGTGGTTTATACTTAAGCAAGATATATTTGTTTACAAGTCAGAACATCGCAGTTATCAAAGAGGCGAAAAACAACTTTAAAAATGAATAATTGTGTTCACAATACAGGCCATGCATTACAGTCAGAACCCGGCGGATCCCTTTGTCTGGCACTTGGCAACAGAGGTAGGCGTTACTTTCTACAAAACTGTTGTAGGATGTGGAAGGGAACATGGTGTGACCCGCATATGACGGTGCGTTGATTCCACATGCTAGGGAGCTTTTCCAGAATGCTTGAGCCGCACCGTCTACGTGGGTTTGGTGGAATTTTCTAGGTTTGTTTTGTATTAATGATTGTCTTTAGACTGAATATTTCCTAAGAAGTGAATTAGATTGAATTCTGTTGACCTTAGGACCATTTTGGGCCTGGTATCTCCAAAACTATTGGTAAGGCTTAATCATGTGAGAAAAGGGGATGGGTTCTTTCGCTAGGAGCGCATGGCAACTCTATGAGACATCGGATATATAATCTCAGGACGCCGCACTAGTCATTCACATACGCATAAAGTGTACAGTCAGTGAAAGGTGTAGTGGAACGTGCGAAATTTAATAAGTTGAAAATGTCTTCTCAAAGATATTCAAAAGCCCTACTGTCCGGTGCTACCGCTTTTAGAAATGTTGCTCGTCAGCAGGTATGCAAGGAGTGATTTTTTATTATTATTCTTGCCTTGTATACTGTAGGGCATGTACTTTAGGGTAAGAGAGGACGAAAGTATGGGCATAATTCACCTTGGGGTACTCCCCGACATTAGATTAAAGTCTCTCTCTCTCTCTCTCTCTCTCTCTCTCTCTCTCTCTCTCTCTCTCTCTCTCTCTCTCTCTCTCTCTCTCTCTCTCTCTCTCTCTCTCTCTCTCTCTCCCCCTCTTTTCTCTCCCTCTTCTTTCTCTCTTTCTCTCTTTATCATTCATCATTATCCTTCTCTCTGTTCTCCTCTAAATCTTTCTTGGATCCTTCTCTTTGTCTTCACTCATCTGTCCTCTCCATCGTGTTTTCCATTCGCTCGTTCTCGCTCGCACAACCGCTTTCTCTCGTTCATTGATTTAGTCACGTAGGCACGCGTTCACATGGCATGCACATCCGACCATGCGCGCCTGCGCTTGCTCACTCACTCACACTCACACACACACACACTCACACTCACACTCACACTCACACTCACACTCACACTCACACTCACATACACACACACACACACACACACACACTCACTCACTCACTCACTCACTCACTCACTCACTCACTCACACACACACACACACACACACACACACACACACACACTCACACTCACACTCACTCACTCACTCACTCACTCACTCACGCACGCACGCACGCACGCACACTCACTCACTCATTCACTCACCCCATAGAGCACATCCCCATCCTATGCACTCACCCGTTAGCATACACATGCACGTAATCACAGAGAGAGTTGGGATGAGTCCTTAGTCAAAGAAATCAATGAATACAGACAAAGACCAAAGGATCAATAGTTCTGTCAAGGTCGGTGAGTGAATAACCACTTTAGCGCACAGATGTTTGGGTTTCGAGAGAGAGACGTGGACGGCGCACGCATAGCTAGCACCTGCCAGATCAGACTATGGAACGTGTTCTGCGTGAATTTGTTCATATAAATATTTGTGTTCATTGTATTTATGAAGCCTTGTTATTTGTTTTAAGAATTTATTGTTAGCCAGAGATAATTACGATAGATTAATTAGGTTCGTGTTATCTGACATAAGCTATATAATCGGTTGGTAACCCTTACCTTGCAATATTACATATATTAACTGAAGCTATTTCCATTGCAGGTGCGGCACAACAGTCAGGTTTGCATGCACAGCCGTAGCCTGAGCTTAGCTGCAGCAGCCAGGAATCAGCTGGCCGTCCTAGAAGCCCCTCTGCCTGGTAAGTCACACCTGTACATTATTTCTGGTGCGCTTGATATAGTTACCTTTAAGGTGTTGTTTTTTCTTTTTGAGTTTTTGTCGTTTGATTTGAATTTGGTAAGGAAATTTACAATTCAGAGATGAAGGGATTTATTTTCTTGATTATTTAAAACTTTTTTTAACACCAACTGTAAATATAAGCCAAATTAAAAGCCAATGGAGAAACGGCCAGTCGATATATCTAAAACACATTTCCTCCCCTTCCCGCGCAGGCACCGGCGTGGTAGCAGCTGTCACCGGAGACAAGTCACTGCGAGTGAAGTTCAGTGACGGCAGTGCCAGAGAGGTCCCGTACACGTGGCTGCGAGACAACTGCCGGTGCCATGCTTGTACTGGCACTCTCGCCTCGGGCAACTTGCACACCGAAGTTTACCCTGAGATCATCCAGGTAGGAGGATTTAAACGCTTCGTGTTTATCGTTTAGAAGGGATGCATTTTGTTTTGTTGTAGTACTATTAATTCCCTACTACTACAAATTTATGTTTAAAAGAAGGGTGATAAAATATATAAAACAAGTGCAAATGAAAATCGTAATGATCGTACTAAAATACACATAATGAAGATGAAAATAGTGTTGATTATGATAAAGATGTTAATTACATTACACCCTCACTTCCTAACGGCCTCCACTGCAATATAATCCTCTGAGCATGTATCTGACGTCGCCCTCCTTCTCCCCAGAGCAACGAGTTCGGCGTCGTGGTGGACTGGAGCGACGGCCACATCAGCAAGTATTCCGGCCTGTGGCTCCATGACCACACTCTCATGTCTCCTCCACGAACGCTCAGCCGCATCCTCCACGCAGTGTGATGGTGAGTGTGGCTTTTTCGCTCAGGAAAATCCGTCTCCCTTAAAGTTTTAAATGATTAAAGTTTGCATGAGTGATAGTAAGGACCTTGAAATATTACCGAATGAACTTTTAGAAACGAAAATTGAGGACCATACTTAAATAATTATTTAAGGATCTTAAAAATAATAATCGTAACGATAAAACATGCATGTTAAAGACATGAATATCGTCTTCACTGTATTTCGTCGCCTTTCCAGAGCTCGCCCAACCCGGAGGTTGACGGCCACCTCACCCGAGACCGATAATGGCGCTGCGAAAACAAGAATAATGGAGGACACGAAATGCCCCTTCCGCCTCTCGTAGATCCTGTGAGGGTTTTATATCGGCTTCGGCGGGATAAAGATGAACAATATCCTGCCACGGGGAAGAATCCATCAAGGTCCCAAAGGATAAACGGCCCAGGGAGTCGCAGGCCGTGCGTCCGGAGGAGCCGCCTTCTCCCTTCTGCCTCCGAACGCAAGAGTCGAGGTGTTGTTTCGCCTCGGGCTGCGTTCGGCACCGCCTGCTTCTTACTTTGTCTACACCGTCCTACTTTTTCATTTTTATGGTGAATTTTCATCGATTACATTTGGTGCATTTGTTGTTCGTTATGGTATTGCGGTTTTACTATTTAGCAAATTTGTACTTAGTGTGATCATGATGTGAACGTGCACATTGTCTGTGACTTGCTGAGGGATGTATAGGACACGTCAGTGTAGCTTAAGGAGTAATGGGATATTAGCCATATACATGTAATGGCGTTGTTCGATTTGTAGGGAAGTATTGCTTTCCTTTTTGATAGTAAAAGGAACACGTTTCATAATTTGCATAATGGCATAATAAATTATTTTCTATTATTCCATGGCTTTATCTTCACCCCCTGTTCGCAAGAGTTCCAAGAATGTTAGTGGAATTTCAACAGTATTTCTCACACATTAACAAAACACACTCGTGAAATATATTTGCAAGTTACTTTACAAACATGTATACCATTGTTCTTGGACAAAAAAAAATATAACATGCCGCTAATGGCAGGTAATTTTAATCAATCAGTACACTATATACAATGTATTCAATAGATTTATGCCGCTCGAGGAGGCTGAAAATAATTTTAGTCCTAAATGATAGCTATAATCCTAATTCGAAATGTGTTACAGTCGCAATAACTCTTTAGTGAAAAAAAAACAAAACGAGCACTAATTCTTCGCGTTCAGAGAGGCCCAGCGAAATACTTCAAATGCCTGGCCTTTACAGCTTGAAATTTGAAATTACCTTATGCGTGTCCATTTGCAACATGAAAAAACAATTATATTGATTTCACGAGATGGTATATAATTGTGATACCGATCTCGAGCCAGGGCCTTTCAGGGAAGGAATCACGCGAGGCCAGCAGTTCCGAAGGGCGGGCCAGTGGCTTTCAAAGTGGAATTATTCAAGAGGATGTGTACGCTTCCTAACTTATAGAGAACAATTGTTAAGATCAATTTGTCTTATCTATTCATCGAATTGTATTTTTTATTTGAAAATCTTTATATATTTCTCCCTGCCGACCCGTGGCACAATACGCACGCATGGAGTTCCTCCCTTCCTCTTCCTCTTTCTGCCTGACTTGTATAAACTCATATAAAGTTTAAACGTTGGTGCGTAAATATATGTAAATATATATATATATATATATATATATATATATATATATATATATATATATATATATATATACATATATATACATATATATATATATATATATATATATATATATATATATATATATATACATATATATACATATATATACATATATATATATATATATATATATATATATATATATATATATATATATACATATATATACATATATATACATTATATATATATATATATATATATATATATATATATATATATACATATATATATATATATATATATATATACATATATATAATATATATTATATATAAATATATATACA